GAAAATATATTAAGTTTTTATAATTATATTTTCAAATTATTAACTTTGTGTAAGGTAAAAATTTTATATATTTCTTTGAAATTCAGTTGAATGATATTGAAGTGCGCACTTTGACAACGTACCGTTATATGTCAGGATGGCCGAGCGGTCTAAGGCGCCAGACTCAAGTGTAAACTTGCCTACTACTAAAATAGTGGGTTTCGTATGGAGCGTTCTGGTCCTCTCTGAGGGCGTGGGTTCGAATCCCACTTCTGACAAGATTTTTTTTTTTGTTTTTTACATATGTGATAAATTTTGTTAAATATTTTTTTATTTTATTATTATTAATTTTAAGCGATTTCAAACTAATTTTTACAATTCTTAGTCAATCGGCTAATAAAATCCGATCTGGTATTTGATCACTCTCAAAGCACCAGTAGTACTCAAATGAAGATAAAGACAGTTATTTATGAGTATAATAACTTGTTTGTTTGAGCATTTTTCAGTAGCCGGCATGAGAGTGACTTTACAATCATCAACTAAGGCTTTGTGAGTTTCTGCAAACTTTACTACTACTACTTTTACCAAGCACCTTTGCTATATTTTTTTGATTATTTTTTTTTTATTAATTTTTCTTTACAGAAGCAGTTAAACCACTTAAGTGTTAGAGATATTTTTAAGAATGAAACAGAGATGTTTGATCTGCTGCTTGAATTGTTCAAGAAAAAATCAATGAAACAAACACATGGCCAGTAGGATAAGGAATGAGTGTGACTAGCCAAAAAGATTGCTTCCACTGCTCTATACCGAATATATTGACTATTTTTTTGCACTTTATTTTTTGTTACAAATTTCCTAAAAATCATGAGTTATCTCCCACGCCATTTAATTATAATTCAGCGAAAATTTCCATGTTTTTCCTTTTCTTAATTAACCTAGCATTAAGGAACCAACCTTCAGCCGACCCATTAAGAAACAAATAAAGGCTGCCACTTCAAGCCCATTTTTATGGCTCAGCAACTATTTCGGTTTGTGTCTCGACTAAGAAAAAAAATCCATAATTGCAACCCAACGCCGTTAGACGTCACCGTTAGCAGTTTATTGAGAAAGAAACACGTGCTCATATATAGCATAACGCACACACGCAGCGTTCAATATCTTCAATATCTATTCCTATACACTCATATATGTAAATACATAATTTTTCGTCGCTGCTCAGTGAAAAAAGTCATTGAAAAAAATTAAGTTTTTATAATTATATTTTCAAATTATTAACTTTGTGTAAGGTAAAAATTTTATATATTTCTTTGAAATTCAGTTGAATGGTATTGAAGTGCGCACTTTGACAATGTACCGTTATATGTCAGGATGGCCGAGCGGTCTAAGGCGCCAGACTCAAGTGTAAACTTGCCTACTACTAAAATAGTGGGTTTTCGTATGGAGCTTTCTGGTCCTCTCTGAGGGCGTGGGTTCGAATCCCACTTCTGACAAGAACTTTTTTTAATTTTTTCACATTTTTTTTAATTTTTTTGTTTTTAATATATTAAAATAAACAAATTGTTTTTTATATTTTTTTCCATATTTTTTAATAATTTTTTCCATGCTTTTTAAAAAATATATATCAAATTCTTTTAATAAAAATTATTCACTTATCTTTAATAAATATTTTTCATACTTTTTTGCAAACAAAAAATATATTTTAATAAATAATTTTCATATCTTTTTAATATTTTTTTGAGTAAATATAATATTTAAAAAAGAAAAAAGCCTTTCATATGAATTAATCAAATATTTTCTATTCTTTTTTCATAAAACCTTTTCATATTTTTTTATAAACTTTAGTTAAAACTTTTAACATTAATAAATATCTAAAAAAAATATTTTTTTAATTTTTTACTTTTACTTGTTTTCATGTAACATAATTTTCTAACTAGTAAATACCTTTTTAAAATTTTTTCCATAAACTAGATGTTTTAAATTTTTTTTTCATTTTATTTATATGAATAAATTTTTTAGTAAATCTTTTATAGAAAGTATTATTTATTTTTTTACTACTAATAACATTTTTTAACTTCCCGAAATAATATTATTTTATTTTTCATTGCCTTACATATTTTCCTTTTGTGAATTTCACGCTATTTGTTTCATATATATTCGCTAATTTGAAACATTTTGCAGACAACCACAAAACAGACTAAAGTAATCAAGTAAAAAACAAATCAAGCAAATCGAATATACAAAAATACAACAAGGTGATGACAAATAAAATAATCTTCGCACAAAATATGTGCGCGTGGGCATCAGAGTACTACTTACAATCGTTCAAATACTTAGTTCATAAATGTATGTAGATATATACATACATACATACGTGTATGTATGTAATTTTTGAAATTAGAAGATTATTTTTATTTGATTTTTCCTGAACTACAACTGTTTTCTTTTGTATAAAATATATTTAAATATTTCATGCAGCACGTATTTATTTATATTTTGCTTTCTTTATTATTATTTATGTATACATACATATGTGCATATATATCTTTTGTCCATTTCAGCGTCTGGTTTGCCTCGCCAATTCTTAGGAGCTAGCCAGCTAGCTGCATACATATGTAGCCGTCCGGCTGACTGACCGCCTGCATGGTTAGCCTGTTGTATGGGAAAGGGAGGCGACGGTGCATTTGTTACGTCGTGTCTCCTCGTTGTTGTTGAGGCACTTACTTACTGAGAGTGCTGCTTTTCGCCTGTTGCCAATGGCCTTAGGTGACGCCAATCAATTTGGCTACTCTATGTGTGTGTATCATTTTTGAGAATAATAGAAAAATTTACTTGTGGAAAAGTCGATTTTGTAGTTTTAAGTTTTCAATACCCAAACAAGTGAGTAGATCGGGGAAAGCAAGTTATATAGTTTTAATGAGTTTCTTTTACTTGTTTTTGTTTATATAGAAAAAAAAATAGTCATTTATGCTGCTTGGAAAATAGTGAGCGTAGATACATATGTAAATAGAATTAGTTGGGCATTGTGTTTGATGGTTGTTGAAGACTAAAATATTGGCGCGAAAATTCCACCAAATACGTTTTCTTAACGGTACCAAGTATTGTGCTTATCAACCGCATCTTAAGAGGTGAGTAAGCATTTTGATTATGTTGTTATTAGTAAGGTAAATAAGTATTTAAGATGGTTCGCTCGTCAAAGCGAAGAAAACATAAATCTAAGTGATTTAAAAGTAATTGACCCTAGTCCTAGGAGAGCGGCCAACAAGAAATAAACTTAATAATAATGACGTATTTGTCTTTGTTTTCCAATAAAAATTTTGCTGTTTTTTTTTCAATATATATTTTCTTTCATTAAATTTTTGCTAAAAATATGCCATAGTTTTTTAATCAATTTTTTTTTTATTTTTATGCAAAAGAAAAAATAAAATTTTAAACAATTTTTTTTGCAAAATCTATAAATATTTATTTAAAAAGTAAATAACTTTTTTTCGGAAAAAAAGAATCTAATTTTTTAATGATTTTAAATTAATTTAATTTTAAATACCTCTAAGGGTTTTAATTAAAAAAAAAAATTTTGATAAAAATGTAATAATATATTTTGAAAACATTGCATATTTGAGAAAGGAAACAAACAAGGTGCTGCAATTTTTAATAAATTTATGTTTCAATAATTTTGCAAAACATTAAAAATACGAATGATTTTAAAATAAAATAATAAAACAAAAATTGTTGAAAAATGCGTTCTTCAAAAAAAAAACTTTTAATAAAGTTAAGTAGATAAAAATTTGTTTTCAAAATATTTTATGTTTATAATTCAGATAATGACAATGCAAATTTTGAACGTATTAATTTTTTTAAAACTTAAAAAAATTTTAAAATATATTTAAAAAAATTAAAAAAAAAAATTAAANTATTTTTAATTCAGTTTTTCTTTTGCAAAATATTTCAATAAATTTTCATTAACTTTTAACAATTTTTATTGATACCTTTATAAAAATTTTATTTACTCAAATTTTTCTTCTTCTTCTAATTTTTTTTTGTACGTAATAACTTAACTCCATTTCAGCTTTTTCTACTTTACTTATTTTTACTGTTAATTCCAATTAAAATAACTTGTACACCTATTTATTTAAATTGTCAAGTAAATGTGTTCAAAATATTTCCGTCGCACATTTTATACCCCGAAGAAAGCACGGTAATCTGCTGTCTCCACACATCAGACAACTATGCCACTACACACAGTACTGTGTACGTGTAAACGTACCCACTCACACACTCCCAATTAAATAAATATGCTCGTCTAGTCGTTTGTTAGCCACTGAGAGCCGTTTGCCACAGTATAAGAGTGACAATTTAAATACACTAGATATTATATATAAAAATTTAAATTTTTTTTTTCGAGAAATTCCAAATATATTTGTATTGAGGTATTTTCTCACAAAATATTTGAAACAATTGGTTTCGCGTCCATCAAAAAATATCAAAAAAAAAAAAAAAAAAAAAAAAAAAAAAAAAAACAGACGAATTTCTCTCAAGTAGGCAACCTTAACCCATTGTATGGCTGGAGCAATCTGGCTTCATGCTGGGTACAAGATTTACGGCGTTATTCAAAGTGTTTTATTGGCTGCGGGAGCGGCCAACAAGAAATAAACTTAATAATAATGACGTATTTGTCTTTGTTTTCCAATAAAAATTTTGCTGTTTTTTTTTCAATATATATTTTCTTTCANATAAAAATTTAATTTTTTTTTCGAGAAATTCCAAATATATTTGTATTGAGGTATTTTCTCAAAAAATATTTGAAACAATTGGTTTCGCGTACATCAAAAAATATCAAAAAAAAAAACAGACGAATTTCTCTCAAGTGCGCAACCTTAACCCATTGTATGGCTGGAGCAATCTGGCTTCATGCTGGGTGCAAGATTTACGGCGTTATTCAAAGTGTTTTATTGGCTGCATAAATTTACAAGTACATTTATTTATATGTTTATTTATGCGCAAAAAAATTGACTGGTAAATCTTTTACTAAGGTCATTTGCGGCTTATAAAATTAATGGATAAATTATTTTTTTTTCGGTTTTCAATAAGATATTTCTGCGATCACAAAGTTTTTTTCTTTTCGTATGAAATTTATTAGTAAATGCAGAATAGAATAAATTTAACGGCAAGATGAACTGAAGATGGGAGTAAACTCGATCAAAATAGACATCTTGACGTGATTGGTTTACTTTACTTATGAAACCAATAGCTCAAATTGAGATGAAATGGCATGTAGTAGGCTGTAAAAAATGATCCAGTGTCATATGCTCGTCTTAATTTAATTAATTTAGTTTAAAAAAACATATATATATATATATATTAATATTATTAGTTCCATATAGTTATTTAGCATTTTAAAATAATAATAAAAATATAAATGATATATAACTAAATGTTATTAAAATTACCTAAAAAATTAACAAAAAATTAAAAAAAAATTAATTATATATTATATTATTTACATAATTAGCGCTTTGTGACCGCTATAGTGATTTTCGGCCGATAAAAATATTATACATAAATTAAATAAAGAAAAAATTCTGCAATATACAAAAAAATTATATATAATAATTTTCAGATATAATATTACCTTAATAAAATTATTTTTCATATTTTTTCTCTTAGTTGTTTTATATATTATAATATATATTTATATATTAATATATATATTTTTAATTATTTTATAATTTTTATGAGATATAATAAAAAACAAATATTTCATTACAAATCTATTGTTGAAATAAAACCAAAGTGTCACTGTTCATAATGCGTTAATAAAATTTTTATATTTAGGGTTTTATAAATATTTACAAAATTCTAAATTAATATAATAATAAAAATTTAATTCATATTTAATATACGACATATTTCAAAACTATTTTCATACACTTCTCTTTGCCAAATAACTCAATTACTTTACAAACGTACATATTAAATTGATATTAAATTGTATAATTACGAAATTTTAATTTGATCATATGAGCTTGCTTATTCTTAATTTTATTGTTATTGTAGCTGCCAAATATTATTATTGCATATTTATGAGTCACATTTCAGCAGCTACAATTGTTTGTATGGCATAAAAAGAAACAAAAGAAATAACAAAAGCATTCTATATTATTGAAAACTTCAACGCTGAATATAAGTGTTTTCTTTGTCCGGCAGTTGGCAAGTGTCAGGATGGCCGAGCGGTCTAAGGCGCCAGACTCAAGTGCAAACTTGCCCGCTACTTAAGTAGAGTGGGTTTTCGTATGGAGCGTTCTGGTCCTCTCTGAGGGCGTGGGTTCGAATCCCACTTCTGACAAGAATTTTTTTACATTTTTTTTTAATTATTTTTTTTTGGTAAACTTTTTTTTTTTGAATTAAAATTTTTCATTATTTTTTAACCTTTTATTTTTTATTTCAATAGAAAATTATGTATAACATTGTATTTTTACATATGAAAGAATTTCTTATCTTTACCTTTTTGTTATTTTTTAGTTTTCTTTTAATTTTTAAATTATGTTTTATTTGAATTGAAACTTTTTTATTTTTTTTTATTTTTTAAATACATATATTCCACTTCCGAAAATTGTTTTTAATTTTTTTTTTAATTGTAAATTATTTTTTAGTCTTTGTAAATTTTCAAATGATTTCAGTTTGTTTTTAATGGTTTTTAACGTAAGGTTAAATTGTTTCGTTTATACTTTTTGTGATTTTTTTTTTATTTTTTGATTTAATTTTCAGATCTGAAAATATTTTTTTATTCCCAGATCTGAAAATATTTGTTTATTCTTTTTGTTGTGTTTTTATTTAACTATTATAAATATATGAATAATTTTCTATTCTTGCTTCTACTTAATTTTTTTAGTTTTATTTTCCAATCGCACTTCTAACAAGAATATATTTAATTTTTTAAGTTTTACATTTTTTATTTTTAATTTCTTGAAATCCTTCCGTGAAAAGTATTTCTAAAATTCATACCTGTTTTAATTTTAATTTACATTCTTGTAATTATACTTAATTATAATTCTCAATTATTTTTTTTTTTTTATTTCTAAACTCTTTTTTTTTTTATAATTTCCAACCATATTTATTAGAAGTCTTTAGTTTAATTTTTTATTTAATTCAAGTTCATTGCATTTTCTCTAGTTTGTTTGGTTACTATTCTTATCAGTCTATACTCGCATCTTCACATCTTTTTGCAATTTTATTGCGAATATGGCTTTATTGGCAAAGAAGATTCGCGGCTGTCTAGTCTCTTGTGTAGGCGATGTCATTTGGTCACGAAGATCGTGCGATTTGACATCGTTGTGTTATGGCTGAGATTCCGCCTAATATGTGCCAACAAGAAAGGAATTACATGAAATAAATAATTTTAAATGCATTTAGGTTTTTTTTTATGGAACTGCTTCAGACCACATATTTTTGGAGATAGTGAAAAAAATTGCAACAATAGTTTTGGGCGGCAGAAGTTATAGCTGCTATTTCGGAAAGCACCACGTTTCCTCATCAAACTTCTCTTTCCAGACACTTGTTTTCGAATTGGACTCAATTATACGATTAATTTCGAAACCGTTCAGATTCTCTCATGATTTCTTAATTTTTTTTCACAATTACTTTTTTTATTTTATATTTTTTGAAACTTTTATAAAAATAATTAAAATTATTTTAATTTGATTAATCTTACTTTTGTTTTATAAAAATGTAAAAATCTCAATATTCATATTTTTATTTCTCAATGAAAATTTTCAACGATTCAGTCAACCAAGGCCCTACCCTACCTCACCCATCAGCCGCATACTAACTTGCCACGCATCATTGTCATCGAGCGATTAAAATTTCAGTTTAAATTTTGAAAAGTTGTATCATCGCTGTCACAAAGTGATTTAAAAATGAACTATTTAATGTGTTTAACATACAAAGAGCGTTGACAGCTCGCTATCTGCTTGACCGAATAATGCGAGAAAAAAAAGAACTATAGTAATATTAACAAAAATTTATCAAAGCCAACAACAAAAACGCCACAGAAACTTACATATCGAAAATGCAAGCAGATGAGCAAAGAAATATATAAATGTATTTAATTTGTCAAAAATGGAATTTTTTCGAAATCAACATCAAACGCCACCAAACCCTGCTTTTACCACATTTCAATAAAGAACTCGCCTACTTTTTGCAATATAAATATTGAATCAATAAAGTGAAGCAAATAAGAAAAAAAAAAATTGTCTGCATAAAATAGATAAAAACAATTTAATTTCTTTTTTGTATATAACAAAATGCTTACTTACTTTCAATTTAACATTTTAATGTCATATTCACTGATCTGCGTAAATAAATGAAAATTATCTATTTTGACGGGCTCTGAACGGGTTTGGTGGGGTCATAAAAGAGAACACTGTTAAAACACTAAGTAGACATATCAATAGCATATTATCATATTATGACGGTTAATAGGTAGTAAGGTGTGTGCAAGAAGACGTCTGAGGGCTAGGCCCTCGTTGATGGGGTAAATGTGACGGCAACCTTCAAGCGGTTCATTTTACTATTGAACTTGAATAAAGACTGAAGACAGTTGAGAGAAAGAAGTTTTGTAGTTTTTACTATTTAAAAAAATGCATATAGTTTGTGGAAAAATATATTTTGTGTAAAAAGACTGATTTGCTCCTTTAAAGGAGCCAAAAGGCGCAAAAAGTTCGGAAAAAAGTTGTGAAAACATTTTTTTCTTGTCAAAAAAAAATATATATATTTAAATAAATAATAAAAAAAATATTATAACCAAAATTTAAAAAAACAATACCAATAATTAAAAAATATAATTGATAATAAAAAAGTAATACAACAATATAAAAATAAAAAACACAAAAAATAATAATTTTAAAATAATAAAATTAACTATAATAAAAATAATAAAAAAAAGGAAAATAGAAATAATAAAATAGACTAATAATAAAAAATATAAATAAAAACCACAAAAGCTTCTTTTTAAAGTGTATAAGTTGAAAATAAAGAACAGAAAATGTCCAAAATGAATGATTACATGGATGAGAATAACGAATCCTTCAAATTTTATGAGAAGGACTTCAAATTCGGGCAAGTCTTATTCCAAAGAATTAAAAAATTATTTATAAACTCAAAGGACTTGAAAAGCCTCTGAAGCGAATTTATTGCGATGTTTGGCTCTCAATACCGAAATGGACTTTTTTGATCGTAAATTATGCCGATAATAACGATATGTGAAAGGAATTGTGGTGTGAAAAGGTTTTTTTGAAAAAAGTTGTTCGATAATTTGACTTTGAATACACATATGTAAAGCTTTGTCAAACGCGCCGATCAAAGAGAGAAGCTTGTGTAATAAAAGAGCGGCAAGATGAATTACTCAAAAAAAAAAAAAATATATAAAGTAATGAATGCCTAGATCGTAAACGAGTTGAAAATGACACTGACACTTTAAGTTCTTCTAACAGTTTTTTTGTTTTTATTAAAAAAATAATCTCGTATAAGAATATTTGGAGCCTTTTAACCGATATAGAAATTTTCGGCTGAACTTCCCCTCCTCCAATTTGTGTTGCCCATCTTGATATTTTCTCAGTCTATAGTTTATTCTAAGCCTGCTCCGAACGGCTGATGCAAGTTTATGAGCAGCTTTAATTTTATTTACTCTCGAAAGAGCTACACATTTCCTGCTTTAATTTGTATTTTGGAGCAAAGACGTTCTACAAGGACTCTTCATTGATAAGTACTACGTATGATCCTAACCTAAGATACTTTGATATATAGATGTGTAACCAGGAGGCTTTAATTCATGTACGAATTCGCTGATTAGTTCAATGCTTCCAGGACGAATAACCTTATGATCAGCTAAATCCTTTTTTAAATAACAGCAGGTGAAGTTAGGTAGGTTAAGAGTAGTTGTTGGGCATCAGCTCATTTAGGTCACCGAGCAATCCCATCTTGATGCCACTGAGGATCCTAAAACTCCTCATCCACTGGTCGAACTAATGGAGGAGTTAGTAAAACTAAGCAATGGACATAACCTTGCTCTCAAGCTCCTCCAATGCTCTGTGAAGTTCTCTTAACCTTCTTGTGTTCCATGTTGATTCAGAAACATTTACAGAAAATAGTCTTATGAAAAATTCTCCAAAATATGAATAGGTTTACAACAGTACTGAAGATGATACAAATGTTATGAAAGACTGGTTCACAGTATAGTTTGAAAGGCTTGTTTAATGATACTTCAGAACTAGGTAGACCGTCTAGGAACGTCTTAATGAACCTGTATGCTTTATGTCGACTTTTGAACACGATTTCCATCTCCTTCTTAAGAGCTTTTGCTGTTATATTCAACTACACTCTTTGTTTTTTTAACTTTAAACTCCTTCTTATAACAGCCACCATCAATTTCTCCACAGATTATGTAAGAAAAAATATCGGCCACCATCGAAGCGTCTTGTTATACCTCGAATGTCGCTATTGGGAAAATCCATAAACTACACACGCGGTTCACATCGGCGCGATGCTCGCTACCGGCTCATACAGGGACGTATCTATAATTTTTTGGAGCGACCACGTGGAGTCTTTGCGATCTCCTATCACATAATGGTGTAAGTTATTGCTTTCACTTTAAATACTCACTGAGTAAACTTACTTGCTTTCTTCATAGTTTTCTATTGGTTTCCACATGTTTAGTGTTAAGTATCTTCACCACAATTCCCGTCTATGAACATGAGGCTGCATTCTCATTGTACCGCATGGAGGTTTTGGTGGTGCTTTGGTTAACGCTGGAATTCATTGTGCGGTTGGTAGTAAAGAAATTATATTTGCCACATTTTCATTGTATATTTTCTTACAGTCTCTGGGCGGCGGGTGTACGGTCGCGTTATCAGGGTCTGCTGGGTCGTTTTAAATTTATGACATCCACATTTTGCTTAATAGGTTGGCTCTCATGTATTCTCCTGATTGTTGCTTTAATAAAAAATTTGAATTGTTTTCTTTACAGACCTTATAACCATTGCCGCTTCCGCTGCAGCTCTGGCGCAGGGCGCACCACGCCGAGTTTTTGCCACTAGCACTTTGCGTGCCTTGAGATTCTTTCAAATTTTACGCATGTTGCGTATGGATCGACGTGGTGGTAGCTGGAAACTTTTGGGTAGTGTGGTCTATGCGCACAGGCAGGTGAGAGAAGATCGAAAACGATCAATTTCGTTCGTCGAAAATTTTAGCGCATATTTCTCAACCATCCAACGTATCTTCTTCTATTTCCAGGAACTAATCACCTCGGTTTATATTGGATTTCTCGGCTTAACGTTTTCCGCTTTCCTAGTTTACTTAGTCGAGCGGGAAGTTAATGAGCAATTTAGTAATTTCGCGAAAGCTATGTGGTGGGGTGTGGTAAGTTGAAGCTTGGAAAAACAGATTTAAAAGCTGAAGAATCTTTAATTGCTCTACTGTTTTTTCTTTTTCTACAGATAACAATGTGCACTATTGGTTATGGTGATGCCGTGCCCGTAACTTGGCAGGGTAAAGTTATAGGCGCAATCGTCACGTTGTTGAGTTACTCATTCTTTGCATTACCTGCGGTAAGTTTGAAGGAATTACTTTTGTTTTAGCCTAAAACCTTTATTATTCTCGCCTTTAGGGCATCTTGGGTAGCGGTTTCGCCTTGAAAGTTCAACAACAGCAGCGTCAAAAGCATATGATTAGTCGTTATCAGCCAGCGGCTACATTAATACAATCCGCCTGGCGTTATTATGCAGCAGATGAGAATTCCACAGCGGTGGCCACATGGAAGATACACGAAATACCTATACAGCTGCCCAGTCCAACTAGCTCGTGAGTGTTATTTGTATTTTGCTCTTCTCTCGTTCTCTTATTTTGTGTATAGTGACGCAGGCTCTCAGAAGATTTGACAGTATCAGCTGCTCACTGTTAAAATTAAAGTCAGTTATAAGAGCGTTAATTAACTAAAATTTTTAATCGAAATTCTGCATTCGCTGAATTTCTTATATTTTTCCTTTCCGTGCAGCTTTAAAGTTCAGAGCCCTTTACGCCGTTTGCCCAGTCGCCGTCGTCGCAGTCAAACTATTCACTCTCCAGCGGATATTTTACACATTGAATCGGCCAAATCGGGTCGTTATCTCTCGGTTTTCAACGACAAAACTCCGGAAAGTCAAGGTGAATATTTTTAAGCATATTAAACGCTTTGAAAGCCAATAATTCTTCAATTTTTCAGATGAAGATTATACACCCAAGCATAATACGCTTATGAAGAAGCATAAAATTGCTATCAGATTTATTAGAATGGTAAGCTTAGAATAATACAGATTATGTTTTCAGGGATATGCAAGTATTCGGTAATTTTATAATGTTTTTTTTTCATTTTCTTTTTTTCTGGAAGTCTCGACTTAAAAGATTTTTTTCTATTTCTATTTCTTTATTTTTTTTGCTTTTTACCCAGCTCAAGTTTATGGTCGCTCGTCGTAAGTTCAAGGAAGCGCTGAAACCCTATGATGTAAAGGATGTTCTGGAACAATATGCAGCGGGTCATGCTGATCTTTTGATGCGTGTAAAAAATATACATGCGAGGTAAGAAAAACCATGAATCTCCCTATATTATACAAGAGGCTTTCTATAAATCGTTGCTATTCTCACAGATTGGATCTCATTTTGGGCGGTAAGCGTGCTCCAAAAATCAAAGATGCTTCGAAGATCTGCCTGGCTTCTAGAGTAGTAAAGATGGAACGACAAGTAAGTTGATTTGAAAAGAAGGATCATGTCTGAATTTTACTTTGGTTTTTGGTGAAAACTAAAAATTGAGTAGCTTAGAAACGTATTAATCGTTTTTTTTTATATTTCATTTCAAATTTTTAATATATGCTTGATTTTATTTTATTTGTTATTTAATTAAATTTCATTTCCTTTTCAAAATTCAGCTTATTTGATTTTTACTTGTTTTATTACTCAATTTCTTTTCATTTTATTTTAATTTTTTTATTTTATTTTACTTCATTTTGTTTTTTTATTTTATTTAAAAGAAATAAACTTTATTTCATTTAATATAATTTTATTTTATTTTACTTCATTTTATTTAATTTAATTTCATTCAATTTACCTTTATTTTATTTTATTTCATTTTATTTTATTTGGTTTAATTTCATTTTATTTTATTTTATTTCAATTTAATTTAATTGAATATTAATTTATTTCATTTCATTTTACTTCATTTTATTTATTTTTTTTTATTTTTTTATTTTTTTTTATTTTATTTCATTATATTTAATTTAATTTAACATCATTTCCCTTATTAAATTTATTTAATTTTTTTACTTTATTTTATTTAATTTGACTTAATTCAATTTTAATTACGTTTATTTTATTCAATATTATTTTATTTTATTTAATATTATTTTATTTTATTAAATTTGATTTAATTTAGATATATTTTCTTCATTTATTTTATTTTATTATTTTATATATCACTTTATTTTAAATTATTTTATTATATTTATTTTATTTATTTTTATATAATTCTTTCGATTTATTCAAAATATATTTTAGGTCAACGATATTGAGGACAAATTAGATCTCTTCATCCGACAATATATGGAAGATCGTCGTCGAAAAGTGTGCGAAAATGAAGAAGAGTCCAACTTGACGCCCATACTCGAAGCAGTCAATACAGAGGCGATTAATAAAAGAGAAAAAGAAAATATCTCAGCAGCCGTTAAGGAAGCAAAAAGTGTCAACAGAACAAGGTGAGATCAAATTAAAATGACTTTAAGCGAATTTAAGTCAGTTAAAATTTCTGTTGTAAAAATCTCTTTAATACAGCCTGCCCACGATCGTCTATCAGCCTCACCTGCCGGCGAATATAAGTTATCCGCCGCATCGTGATCTGAAATTACCGCTGCCACAACAGAGGCCCGACAGTGCAAGTAAACAACTTTAGTATTTGTGCTCTTTGTAACTGTGTCGTACATAACTGCACCATTTTACAAAGAAATACACACACACGTACACACCACTTATGAGCGCACACAAACTGTACACACTGTATTTGCTATCGATGTTGTTGTGTATTTACTATCTTCACTGTACGCACTGTGTTTAATATTTTTGTTCATAAAATTGTTTATTTTGTTGTAATTTAATTTCTATGGATGGCTGTAATGTTGTTGTTTTATATTTTTGTAAAATATAAGTATAGATTTTTATTTAATTAATTTTAATTTTATATATATTTTATTATTGAAAAAAAAGTAATTTTCATAGATGATTTGGGCAAAGTGGACGAAGGTGATATATTCAATGACGACGATGAGGAGTTCAGCGACGGCATGTATGCATCAGTGGAGGCGTATTTGGGTTGGACGTGAGGAGGGAGTGCAGAATTGTTTACTCACTTTTTTTTAGTGCCATTAAGAACTTAAGTGCCTTAAAGCAGTTGTGAAGGTATCTAATACTAAGATAATTATGTTAATAATATTATATTTCTATATAAATATATAAAGAATAATGTACATATGTATAGCCAAATTGGTTACAAGAAATTCAATAAACATGCTTATATAATATATTTTAATAATTTTGTTTTTTAAATTTTTCACTTTTTATATATTTAATTTAGCTTAAGAAATTTTATGATTATTTTTAACGCCTGCATTTAATTTTATATTTGAGTTTTTTATTTCCTAGAAATACAATTCCCTCAAATTATTTCCATATACTCGTATGTAGATTGCCTTGCAGCGGCGCCTCTTGTAAATTGAAAATATTTTATTTATTTTAATTTAATGCACGAATCACTCTGTTTGACGTCAGTCAGTATGGTGCACACAACAATTATTGTTGTTCTACAGCAATACAACAAAAGCTATTTGCTGACCATCGACCACGAAATGCTAGTGACGTTGAGAATATTGAGGCATTGTACAATAACTTGTTGCCAATTTTATTCATAAATATATTATTATCTACATATTGTGTACACCAAGCCATATACATATTTAAGTATATATGTATGTGAGTATTTGTGCCTTAAAAGAAATTCAAAAAAAGAAACAGAAGGAGAAAGAAATAAATAAAATATACCCTTCACTCACCCTTCACTTCAAGCCATTCCTCGGGAAGGTGGTTTGGAATCAGTTTTTAATTGATCGCATAGGATATCTGAAAGGTTGATATTTCGTAGGAAAATAAAAAACCATGAATCATACGTATTCCACTTCGTTTTCCAGGTTATGGTTTAAAGAAGTGTTGGAATAATACTTATTACCGGGCAAGGTATTTTGCCGTCTATACTCGAAAGAAGTTCTTCAACAGATTTTGCTGTCTTTTTGCTACTCAATGGCTTGATTTTTACAAAATGCTGTGTGAATAAGTAAAGAACAAGCAACGGAACTACGGTCCATTATTATACATTTGAAAATTTTTGTATATAAATACAGTCGAAGAGCTTTTCTTAGCTTAGCTATTCTAGAAGTATTGTTGGAAATACTTAGAAAAGCAAGTCCTCAGCAACTTATCACCTGAAAGTAGTACTAGAGAAGCTATAATACCATTGGCTCTCACTGAGAGCACTTTAAAAATTTTTTGGGCTGGGATTTTGGTCGTTATTAACGTGTTTTGGACAAAATGCGTTGTAAATTAGAAGAAAAAAATGTTTTTAAATGCAACCTCAGAATAAAGTAGTACATTTTGTCCTTCCTTTTCTATTGGCTTGTCTATTGGAAAACCTTGGGAATTATAAACTTAAAACTAAAAAAAAATAAAATTAAAAAAAAAAGAAATGCCATTCCACTTCGACTTCCAGGTAGTAGACTAAAGAATGAATGGAATCTATCCCACCAAATAGAGCATTTTATCAACTGCACCTCAAAGTTAGTTTACTGGGTATCTACTGTATATCATGTTTTGTATTTGTTTTTTTTTTTTCAACAGCAATTGTAAATTTTTGCTTGGTGGTCGTCGTTTTATTACACTCACTGTTGATATTTTATTATTTACGAATAATAATTGAAAAATACTTCATTGTCAACATTGTTGCGTTCATTGAAGTTTGCTCGGGGGGGGGGGAAATATGCAAAGGGGGTATTGAGTTTATTGAATGATAAATGAAAGGACGCTTGATATTACTTTGACTTCTCAGCTAACAATTTATAAAATTCTCGATCACATTTGACTCCCTTTCCAGTCGCCAATCTGAACAAAAGTAATGCAGGAAGCGAATTTGCCGGAAAAAATGTGGTCTATATAGGACTCTCCCTACTGAGTCGATTATGACTTCGTTCCAGAAAACATTCGAATCTGTTGAGAAGACTGACCGCGGGGATTTTTGTTTAATCATCTACCCAGGCAAGGTATATTCTGACACACGATTAGGCAAAATAAATGAGATTGAAGGTAGTAATCATTGGTAATTTTTAATGCGTTAATCTCATAGAGATTTAGTAACTCTTCACGTTTGGATCGAAAACTCAAATTTCCCATACTTAGGTCGGAGGTGGAGGATACTGAAGTGCGCCAAAATTGCACCACAGCTTGAATGTTGGACATTTAATCTGACAGGATTGTTGCCTATCTCACCGCTGGTCCCTCACGGGTCCTATTTCTGGTTAGTTTAAGAATGTTTGTCCAGTCTCTTAATCGAGAAAATAAAAAGAATCTGAGGCTTTTAGGGGTTGCTAGGTGTTTGAAGGAGGAAATCATAAACCGCAAAAACTAGTCGCTTGCGCTTTCGCATTATATTTAGTTTTATTTATTTTAGTGATAAAAATAAAATAAGAAACAACTCAAAACCGCACCAAATCCACTTGACAACCAGCACTCAGTCAGCCAGTCAGTCAACACGCTACTAGTTTACTTGCCACTTATAAACTTGCGCTTATTTCGCAGTCTCTTTATCTGTTTGTCTGTCTGTCTGTTTGTCCGACTAGTTTACCGTGCTTAGTGCGAGTTGCAACTTGCAAGTTTTCTTAAATCATTTAGTGTGTTGTTTTGCTCGCGCATTTCTTTCTAGTTCTCTTGTCTTATTATAATTGCGTTTTTCTTATTTATTTATTTATTTGTTTACTAGTCGAAACTTTCTTACTCGCTTCTAAAACTTCTTAAGTCAAGTTATCTGCGCATTACAGGGTTGCGTGAGTGAGCGAACGAACGTCTTTTCGCTGTTTTCCAACACGATTACGACGACGGCGGTGGCGGAGACTTTGACTTTGCACTTTCGCACTTTTTGTAACCTCAATGAGGAACATAAAACACGCGCATGCAAGAAATAAACAGCTGATGAACGTTGGGCTCTTTAGCGTGAGACTTACTCTGAGAGCAACAGGGGTAAGGCGATTCACAAACCTCTCGAAATATTGGTGATGCGGAGAGTACGATCTGAAGTTAACCACTTCCTTGCAGAATAAATCGCCACGGTATGCCAATTATAGCGATATAAGCCTCTTTAATACCACATATAATGTTCTAACTGCTCGAACCTTATAAGTGTGGCTTCTGGCCTAATAGATCAACTTATACTGCGCCATGTCTCAATACCTCAGAAAGCCCAAAAGAAATGGCACATTAACTTCATCGGCTTAATTTATTGACGAGTTATACTATCGGTAGAGTAGTAAGACCTCTCCAATCCATTCGCTATTAACTGAGGTTTCAGACAAGTTTACTCTCTGTCCTGCGGCTTTTTAAACTTAATATTGAAGAAAATAATAAGAGGTGAAAGAGCACGCATACCTACGCTACTCGGCGCTAAAGAGTTTTGCATTCAAAAGTCATTCAAATAGTGGCCTCTGACGTTTGAAGCTGGCTTCCTTAGCGGCTAATCACTTTTATTATTTACTGCCGCCACACAATACTTACATCCAGCAACTTTTTAGTTTTTCTTTTTTTCTTTGAAGAAAATCCATATTTCTCACTTCGGAGCTTATACGATTTTTAAAAGTGAAAGCTTCTAGCAGAAGTTAAACGAATTTTCTTCTTGTTTTACTACATTTCACTAAAACTGTTTTCTTGCTACTACTTTTAACTACAGAGTTGCATGGCCGAGTTGGCTTAGTCGTTCTTTATTATTGCCAACATTTTTTCACCCAACCTTTGCTATTTTTCATTATCGCTCTATTTTTTTTCTCTTCCTTACAACGCTTTTTATGTTTTTTTTTTCTCTTTGCAGTAGACTATTTCAATTGCGGTTACAGCGGTTTTCTTGACCCCACAATTTGACTTATCTTGCTGCTCGGTCAGCTATGTAGCTGGATTGCAGTGGTGGCCTGACCTGCGTTGGCATGGCAACAGTGATTTGCGCCATTGGTTTATCACTGATTCAACGAAACATACTGAACTTTTGCCACAACTTGGTGCCCTCTTCCGTTCGTCGGTGCGAAACTTGAACTATTATTTTCTTGACTACGCGGCCGTACATCTTACAGATTTCTTAACCCTATGCAGTGGTTTGCAAGAGTTTGTGGGATTACGACACTCCTCCTGTTGCTTCGCAGTGTGCTGTTGCTGTTACTTGTGTTCGCAAACTATTTCTGTTCATAAAGTTTATCCACAAGCCCAAGCTTTCCTCCGCTTCAGTTTCAATTTTTATTCGATTTTTTTTAATTTCTATTTTTTTATTTTTTTATTTTTATTTTTATTTCTTCCTCTTAGAATTTTATGCGCACTGGTCACTCGACAATCCTTCGCATAGTTTCTTTGTTGCACCGCATCACCCACCCACGTCAGGTCCCTTTGACTGTCCAACAGCGAAATTCTTTCACAAATATTTCTCATCTCTCTGCCATACTTTGCCAATGAGATTTATTTGCTGGCGTTGCTGCTGTTGGTGTGGCTTTCACTGTTGCAACTTTACGATTACAACGAGCTCAAGTTCTTTCTATGCTGCCACTGCTACTGTTTTTCCTTCCCCTATTAACCCTGCGCTTGTTTGTCCTTCTTTTGTTTAAAACCATTGTCCGAATTATTTTAATTGCACTTCGCCGTCCAAGTTTGTTCATCTGTCTGAATTTATCACACTCTGTTGCCACCACCAGCTCTGCCGCCACCAGCGGCAGGCAGTGGCTTTTCTGTTGGCTCCTCCGCTCGGGTTCCGCTCTTGGCTTCTCCAGTGTGGGCAGTAAATGTAGCCGCATCTGTATGTCTTGTAACTTCCGTATCTTTGACAAACAACTTTTTTGTTTTGTCTTTTTTCTCTGGTTTTCATGACTTGTTTTCTGTTACTTTGCTGCGTTTCTTCTTTTGAACTTTAATTTCCTTTCGCTTGGCCAAGGATTTGGTCAAATAATGAACTGCGTCAAGTTTTGCGTCAGCAACACAAACAAATTATGAGTTAAATGCATTTTTAATTTGTTGTCGTGATTTTGGTAGGTGGAGGTTTAGATTGTTGCGAGGTTAAGTTGAAAAATGCTTGACATGAAATTTTTAGTGGAATATAAGAGTTAGTAAGAACATAAGTTGACACAAT